AAGTATAAAATACACACTGGATTTCAAGGACTTAGTTTAAAAAAAATCTTATCAATAATTTTTATATCGATTACACATTAAAACTATTTTAGTTATATTGGGTTAAATAAGATATATGAAGATTAATTTCACCTGTTTCTTTTTACGATTTTAATGTGGCTACTAGAACATTTCAAATGCTGTGTGTGACTTGCATGGTGGTTTTACTGGCCAGCACTACCTTGGAGCTTCAGTGGCGTGGCAAGGTTACTCATCTAGTTACGACTCTCTGGCTAGTACTGATTATAGATTGCTGTATGTCTGTTTTGATCAAAATGATGGATAATTCAAACTCTGTTGGAGAAAAAAGTTAAATTAACACTAAGGAATTTGAACTAATTTATATTTTAAATTTAAGGCTGGATTGTGACTCTGGTAGAATCTTCTAGCATTTCAAATTTGGAATATTTTAAAAGGGACAAACTGGAAAAACATACCCATTGATTCAGGAGCTTCAACCTGTTTTTCTTTTTTCCTAATCATTCACAAATCATCCTACATAGGTGGTCCCTGCTCCCCCAGTTTTTGGGGAGGGAGGCAGGAAGTAGGGGACAAAGTTCATCTAGAGGTTCATCTGTATATTTTTGAGTATGAAGAGTATTTTACCTAAATCTATCTTATTATGTAGATAGGTTTAGTATAATAAAATCTATTCTTCACTATTTAACAAATTTGTGAGTAGGCACTGGGTTAGACTCTGGAAATGCAGTAGTGAACAAGGCCCAGACCCTGAAAGGAACTACAGGTTTTTGTTTGGTTAATTGGTTTTGTTTTGTTTTTACTTTGTATTTGGAAATAATTTTAAACTTACAGAAAAGTTGCAAGAATAAAAAGAATACAAAAAACACCATATATCCTTTCTCCAGATTCACCTATTGTTAACATTTTTCCTTGTTTGTTTGTTTTCTCTGTATGTATGTGTGCATGCACGCATGTGCGTGCTTGTTTATATAAACACGTATTCATACATATATCTATTTTTTCTGAACCATTTGAGAGTCAGTTGCCTATATCATTCCATTTACTCCTAAATGTTTCATTGCATAATTCCTAAAAATAGAGACATTCTCATACATAGGAGCTCTGGTGGCGCAGTGGTTAAGAGCTTGGCTGCTAACCAAAAGATTAGCAGTTTGAATCCACCAGCCCCTCCTTGGAAACCCTATGGGGCAGTTCTACTCTGTCCTATAAGGCTGCTATGAGTTGGCATTGACTCGATGGCAGTGGATTTGGTTTTTTTGTTTTCTGGTATATAACCACAGGACAGGTATCTATTCAGTACATTCAGTAAACTTAACATTAATAGACTACTTCTTAGTGTCTACCATCCACATTTCAATTTGTCAATTGATCCATTAATTTCTTTTAATAACGTTTTCCTCCTTTAGGATCAGATATTACATTTAGTTGTCATGTCTCTATCACCTTTAATCTGGAACATTTTTTTCCAGCTTTTGTCTTTTATGACATTGACATTTTTTAAGATGACATTCTCCCCCCCCTTTTTTTTTGAATAGACAGTTTCTCATTTCAGGTTCATCTGATGTTTCCTTGTGAGTAGTTTCAGGTTATGCATTCCTGATTGGAATACTACAGAGTGATGTGCCCTTGTCAGGGTATCACATCTAGAGTTGCACACTGTCCATCGGTCCCTCATTGGTGATGTTAATTTTGACACCCGATCAAGATGTTCAATTTATCCACTGTCTCATTACATTTTTGCCCCTTGCAACTAATAAGCAATCTTTGGAGAGAGACTTTAAGACCATGTATATATCTTACTCTTCATCATAATTTTCCCCTAAATCTAGCATTCATTGATGATTGTCGCCTGAGCCAGTCTGTACTATGATGACTACAGAATGACGATTTTTCCTCTTCCAGCATTCCTTTGCATATTTACCAGTTGGATTCCACTATAAGCAAGGGTCTTCCCTTCTCCCCCATCTTTGTATGTATGTATGTATTTAACAGTTTATTTATTTTTGGTATGGGCACATGGATTCCTTTTTTCCAAAGACATATAATTCATTACTGTTCTTAATTATTTTAGTGCTTAAATTGTCACAGATTTGACCAGAGCCTTTTCAAGCTGACTTCCGAGTCTTGCAACATGTTCCCATATTTTTTTGAATACTTCTTTACTCTCTGGCATAACACCACATTCTATGTGGAGCTACAGTTTTACACAAGAGGCCTTCAGATACACAGGTGTTCAGTATAGTGTGTTCGTGCTACTGTGGCAGCAGAGTGGTGGGTTCTCTAGCCCAGTGTAAGTGGAGGAGAGGCATGGCAGCAGGACATGGGGAGGGGGTGTGTTAGTAGAAGCCTCTTTAGAGGAGATGTCACCAAAACTGACATGTACAGGATAAATAGGATTTGGAAAATGGTGTGTGTGTGTGGAAGGGGTGAGAACAGTGTCTCGTATGGATGGATGATCATGGGTTTATGCCCTGAGAAGAGGGAGCATGGCACATTCATTCATAGGACCACACATGGTTCCATTTGGTTGGAATGCAGAGAGCAGGAGGGGGTATGCTCAGATTTGCGTCTTTGAAAACAAATACTCTGGCTGTGGTGTGGAGAAAGGCAAGACCAGAGGCAGGAAGACCAGCAGGAAGTTAACCGCAATAATGTTGACAAGAACAATATTCATATGTGACCTGAATAATAGTAACTAATGCTTTCTGATTTCTAGTTTTGTTAACTGAGGGAATGCTGGTAACTTTCATGGACTGAACAGAGAACATTTGGGGAAGGGTTGTGGTGAGGAGATGAGTTCCTTTTTGGATATGTTGACTGATATCTTTGGGCATATCCAGATGGTACTGTGTGGTAGGCTGTTGGCTGTATGTGTCTGGAGTCTCAGAGTATGATGCTTACAAATTGGGGAATCATCAGCCTTTAAATGTTATTGAAACCTTAGAGTGGATGTGATCACAAGGCAAGAGGATGTAGAATGAGAAGAGGAGGCAGCCTAGGGCAAAACCCAGGGAAATGTCAACATTAAAGTGACAAGAGAGGTAGGAAAAAACCAGGTTACTGTGATGTTACAGAGGCTGAAAAAAGAATGAGCATTGCAAAAAAAAAAAAAAAAAAAGGATGGAGTGATTAGTAGTGTCAGATGTTGCAGAGGTCATAGGGTATAGAAGATATCCTCTGTATTTAGGACCAGAGAGATGATGGAGATTTTGTTTCAGTGGAACAGTGTCATGGGCCAGATTAGAGCAGACTAAGGAGTGAATTGCAGGAGCAAAGTAGTACAGGGTGGCCATAAAGCCCATTTGCATGCAAATCAAGTTATCCATGTTCTCCTCCCACATTTTAATATTTCATCATGTTCTTTAGACATCTTCCATGTTGATGGTTAGAAGTCATTAAAACCAAAACCCAAACCAAACTCGTTGCCATTGAGTCGATTCCAACTCATAGTGACCCTATAGGACAGAGTAGAAGTGCCCCCATAGGGTTTCCAGGGAGCAGCTGGTGAATTCAAACTGCTGACCTTTTGATTAGCAGCCGAACATTTAACCAGTGTGCCACCAGGGCTCCAGAAGTCATTAAAGCAGTCCCTAATAGCTCTTTTTAGGTTTTTACCTGTGGGTAGGCAGAGTAGGATTCATAGGGGCTTTGTGAACATCCCGAAGACACAAAGAGCATATGTAAGTAACCCTTTGAGAATTTTGGCTTGGAAGAGGGAAGAGAGATAGCTACACCCCCAGTAAAAGTCAACAGATTGCGTGCAAAATGAAATGCCCTGCCTGTAATGAAAGTCAGATTTGAGATTATATGGTATTTATTTTTTAATTATCTACTTAGTTGTAAATCAGCAAAAGTAATCCAGTATTTTCCTTAAACATTTTTTTTTTAAATATTCTCTGAGGTTCTCTATGTTGCTCCAGCAGTGGCATGATTTAAAGTTCCGAGGCCTGTTTGAAAGAAATACAAGATTTGGTGTGGGATAAACTGCCCTTATGTTGTGGTTTCCATGCATCCTATGAAGATGCAGCTATTTGATTCTTCTCAAACTTTAAAATATTGGACAATTTAATAAGTTAACACAGCAGAAATATTATGAAATTGTATGATATACACTGCACATTGTTCCTTTTTAGAATGAGAAATATAGATTAAGAGGTAGACCAGTTAGTTGACTCTTGATACTGCCTGCTGATTTATGATGATGATGATTATTTCTTCACTAGTTGCCTTACTACATGGGTGGTTAACTTGACTAGTGTCAGTGAGATTGAGGGTCAGTTTCCTCTACTCAAACTGTACCCCCAAATCCTGCCATCTTGGCACCTGTGCCAGTGGCACCAGAATTAGGTGAGAGCCTAGCTAGGCGGGTCTGGCTAATGATGAGCCACCAGCGTCGTCATTGAAAACATAGGATTGTACGTTTCCATTTTTGTTTGCCCAGTTGTTTGATTTAGACATTGGGTTTCCTTTACTCAGCCTTCAAATTCAAGCCTTTTGGTTTCAAAGTACAAGGAGAATGCAAGGCAAATGGGACAAGTGTGCTTCATGGTATAATATTGTTAAGTCCTTATTTCATGAAGGTTTTATTATTTCAGACATCAAAGTGAGTACTCTGCTTTAAAGCAATGATGTGATAGCCCTTGGGAAACCATGAGTGATTACGTATACATAAGTAGAATTTCTCAAGGCTAGAAAAATATGGTTGCCAAATAATACTACTCTGCATTTTTAATCTTGCTGCTGCTGCCTTTTTTTTTTATTATTAAAATGGAACTGAAGTTGTTATTTATTTTTGTTTTTTAACCACTGATTGGCTGTATTACATCAGAAAAGTCTGTTTAAGTTGAATTTGTCAATTTTCCAACTTTGGAATTAGGTATACTAATTTTAGATTTTTCTTTTAATACAGTTGATGGTGACTGTTTGAATAAAGTGAAATATGTAATTAAATTTAACTGCACTTTAATTTCTTTCAATAGAAAATGACGGCGGTGTTGGAAGATCATTGCTATTGGAAGGCCAGTTAACATCTATTCCCTAAGAGAAACTTGATCACCATTTACTCTGGCATGGCGCAAAGCAGTCCACAACTTGATGTTCAGGTTCTCCATGATCTCCGACAGCGTTTCCCTGAGATTCCAGAGGGTGTGGTGTCTCAGTGCATGTTACAGGTAGATTATTATTCTACCAGTGATAGTGACGTTAAGTTATGTTTTTACTTATTAGAACTAGTTTTGTGCTATGGTGACTAGAACTTTGTTTTCTTATGTGTGTAGGGGGTAAACATTTAGAGCAAGGTTTCTCAACCTTGACACCATTGACATTTTGGGTTGGTAATTCTGTGTTTTGGGAGCTATCCTATGCATTGTAGGATGTTTAGCAACATCTATGGCCTCTACCCACTAGATGTCAATAGCAAGCCCCCTCCCCCCACAAGTTGTAACAACCAGAAATATCTCCAGACATTGCCAGATGTCTTGCAAAATCTCTCCCCATGGAGCACCACTAATTTAGAGAAAAGAGTAAAGGCATGTGGTGAAAGGAAAAAAAAATTCTCCTTACTTTTCACTTTCTGTATTTTTTGGGTTGTGCCATCAATTCCCCAGTCCTTGCAGTTGAATGTCAAACATACCATTATAATATCCTAGGGCTCAAACAGCAACAATTGTGAGGATGACACAGGACCAGGCAACATTTCCTTCTTTTATACATAAGGTTGCTATGAGTCAGAACCAACTTGATGGCACCTAACAACAGCAACAACATACACTTTTTAGCCAATGTTTGAAAATCTGTAGATATTCCACCACCTTTCTTACTGGTTTTCTAGTTGTCAAATGCTTACTAATATCTAATTTTGAGTTTTAAAGCCTACTTTCTTTAATCACATTACCTTTAACTTGTCTTCTATTGAAATAAATAGTTCATTTCTGGGATAGAATGTGTCTTCCCACTCTAAAGGGGCAACAAAGAAACAGACCTAAGGCTCCGTGTTGAGTTTTGCATCATCCTTCACAAGGTCTCAGTGTGCTTTGGGTTATGCCATTTCCTTATTCAGTTGACTTTCGGGAGCAGCACTTCTACCCTGCCCACTGGTCTTCTTACACAGTCAGTACTCATGTTGAAACTTGGCCCTATTACAGTGTGAGTGACTCAGGATATAGCCCACACATACAGGTGAAGTTAATCACTAGTAGAGAGCCGTGGAAGATGGTGGTAACAAAGGTGCTTCCTTTGTTTGCAAGCCCTCTTACTAGGTCTAGACGTTTGAGCTTATGGTTTTTGTGTTAGTCTACCTTTTTTTTCCTAACACACGTTCCAGTCTTAATCTCAGCTCTTAACCCATTTGGGTCTCTGGAAGAAGCAAGGTACTTCCCACTAGAGTGAAACCAAGAAAGAGTGAGGCTTCTTGTTTAAATCATTTCCTAGCAATCACTAATCACCTTCCTCACCAATTTAGGGGCCCCACCTAGCTATGACCTTGTTTGTTTGTTTAATTATTCATCCCTTACTACCTGTAGTTTTTCAGGACCCAGTGTCTTCATCTCACTTAACTAAACTGAAGGAATGGAATTTTAAATTCAGCTCATTAAATATTTACTGATAACTTACTGTATGCAACAAACGCATTGTCCTAAGTTTTTCGCTTTTTCTCATCTTGGGGTTAATAGAGCATATGGATGCGGAAATTTACCACCTGTACTCTGGAAAGTGTCTCTTTTGCGTTAAAATATATGAAACTCAGTAGTTTACATTTTATTACACAAGCTTTAAGGCTTCTCTTTGGGCTAGCATTCCTCAGTCATTTAAAAACTGGTCATTATATGCCTTCTTAAAAATTCTGACCTCTTTATCAAACTAAACAATTTTGATTTCTTTAACCATTCTTATTTCCTCTTTGATAAATTTTTTATCCATTTAAAAAAATTTAGCAGGTCAAATATAACATTTGAATCTAGTCTGGTGGTATTCTTTTTACAGTACTTCCAAAAAGATGTAGTTAACTAATGTAATATTTGTGGTTTTAAATGTCTTTTCATAGGAAGATTTACTCAACTTGTCAATGTAGACATGCATTTGACTAGGCTGACAAATCCAACTTTGTATCATTTTGAATTTGAATCCTTTTTGCAGAGATAACTAGATACTAATTAGGCTACCTAATTGAATGTAAGGAGCCCTGATGGTGCGGTGGTTAAAGTGCTCAGCTGCAAACTGAAAGGTCAGCGGTTCAAACCCACCAGCCGCTCCACGGGAGAAAGATGTGGCAGTCGGCTTCCATAAAGATTTACAGCCTTGGAAAAATTATGGGGCAGTTCTACTCTGTCCTATAGGGTTGCTATGAGTCGGAATCAGCTCAATGACAGTGGGTTTGGAGTTTTTTGGTTAACTCAGTGTAGAAAACAGGAAATTTCAAGATTATTAATAGAAATATCGAATAGTAAAGTGTCCACAGTTGTTTTAGGTTTCAAATGGAACTCTAGCTTTTGTTCTCTACTATCTATAGGTTTATAAAAAACTTAATAGAGACACTTAGTTTTTACTTTTCATATTTTTTTTTTCTTTTAGATATCTGACAGTGACATTTTCTAGTTGAATCAGTTTGAATCCTTTGGCTGCAAATTTGCGTTTTAATATCTAGCTTCTCTCCGTTTTTCACCGCGATTTTCAAGCAGGATAAGAGAAAGCTAAATCTTTGAGTTCTAATTATTTTCTTCTTGAATTCAATAATACTTTTTTCTATGACTCAGAGTATTTTAAAAAGTATTTGAATTTCAGTATCAAGATGTAAATTATTTATGGAATATTGACAAAGCCAATTCTTTAAATTTCTGAGAATTCAGTTTGTACAGGTTTATTGACTGAACCTTCTTTTACTTCCTAAAGCCCCAGTATAATAATTTACTTTTAGCGTAACATTCTCTTTCTTGAAATGACTGTGTTATAGTGAAAAGGGCACTGGGAATCAAGAGACCAAGAATCTAAAACTGGCTAGGAAACTCTAGTTCTAGTGCCTGTTGTTGAGCCATGTATTTCCCAGGTGTCTCTTTCCTATCTGTAAATGTGAGTTGAGTTGGAGTAAATGAACTCTTAGAGTTCTCCCAGCTCTAAAATTGCAACACTGTATGTCCTGTTCTTATGTAAAATGTAGTTTTCCCCAAAATGAGCAAATATATAATAATATGTATGTTTATGTATTTATGAGCTACAGAGAAAGTCATGCTAATTGAGAAATTTTTATAGATTATTTCAGAGGCAATGAATAATACGTTTTTTATGCTGATAAATAGTTCAGAATTCTGTATTTTAATGGAAAATTGCTTTACAGTATATTACATTTTTAAAAAGAGGGAACTTTTTTTTAGTTTCTTTTCTGTCTCTTGGAACTTCTGAAATGTCAGTTTGCTGTTACCATCTTTGTGTGTGTGTGACTCAAAAAATTCAAATCATTATATGATTTTGGAGGTATACCAAGCTACCTTTCAACAGGCAAAAACTTTTGAGACTGTGGAGGTGTGAATGGATTTCATTAAGGTAATAGAGACCATAACTTTGGCAAAGTCATTGGGCCATAGTTCAAAATGTAGATTTGTTTTTTTTTACTGATTTCTTTATTTACCTTAAATCTTTCATAGTGATACAGACAGTTGAAGTTATATAGGGATAAATTTGATTAAAATAAAAGTGAAGGTTGGTTTAGAACTTTGTTTTGGCTCTTTTGGAATCTCATTGTAATTTTTTTTCTCCTTGGGTTATTTCAATGCCTTTTGAAAACTAAAGCATGGTTATTTTCATGTTTATCAGTTGAAATATTAATAATGAATATTACTTATATATTGCAGCAATTGTGGTGAATCCAAGATTAGTCCATCATTTTAATTTGTTGAGATGCAACAAGCATAAAATGAGTCCTGGATCTGGAGTCAGAAAACTTAGGGTTGAGCCACAGTGTTCATTAGTAGGTACTTTACGTTTCTGTAGCAGTAGCAGTAGTGGTAGTGCTAGTACTGTGAGCTAAGTGTTTGTAAAGTAATAGGAATCATTCGGGGTCTCCTTTTCAGGATAGATGACCGTGAAGCTTTTTGTGGTTCACATACCATTCTCTACTTATTCTGTGACAGTTGTATTTGTGTAACACTCTGGCAAAGCCTAATTTCCACTGTTAGGATATTTCAATTTTGCCAATATTACTTTTACCATTTTTCTCCCCCAGAATAACAACAATCTTGAAGCCTGTTGCCGAGCCCTTTCCCAGGAGAGTAGCAAATACTTGTATATGGAATACCATAGTCCAGATGACAACAGGATGAATAGAAATCGCCTTTTGCATATTAACTTGGGTATCCATTCTCCTAGTAGCTACCACCCAGGAGATGGAGCTCAACTTAATGGTGGTCGAACACTGGTACATAGCTCAAGTGATGGACACATTGATCCACAGCATACAGCAGGTAAACAGCTGATATGTTTAGTTCAGGAACCACACTCAGCTCCTGCTGTTGTGGCTGCTACTCCCAACTACAATCCATTTTTTATGAATGAACAGAACAGAAGTGCAGCTACTCCTCCTTCACAACCACCTCAACAGCCATCTTCCATGCAAACAGGAATGAATCCATCAGCTATGCAAGGGCCTTCACCACCACCGCCGCCACCTCCTTCATACATGCACATACCTCGGTATAGTACAAACCCAATTACTGTTACGGTATCCCAAAACCTCCCTTCTGGACAGACTGTACCAAGAGCTTTACAAATTCTTCCACAAGTTCCAAGCAATCTCTATGGGTCTCCTGGTTCTATTTATATTAGACAGACATCTCAGAGTTCATCGGGAAGACAAACTCCTCAGAGTACGCCATGGCAGTCTTCACCACAGGGTCCAGTGCCTCATTATAGTCAACGTCCTTTACCTGTTTATCCACATCAACAGAACTATCAACCTTCTCAGTATTCTCCCAAACAACAACAAATCCCTCAATCTGCTTATCATTCGCCACCTCCTTCTCAATGTCCTTCACCCTTCAGCTCTCCACAGCATCAAGTACAGCCTTCCCAATTGGGCCACCCAAGTTCCCACATCTTTATGCCACCTAGTCCTTCAACTACTCCACCCCATCCATATCAACAAGGACCTCCTAGCTATCAGAAACAGGGAAGCCATTCAGTAGCCTATCTCCCATACACAGCATCTAGCTTACCCAAAGGTTCCATGAAGAAAATAGAAATTACAGTTGAACCCTCCCAAAGACCTGGAACAGCAATTAATAGGAGTCCTTCACCCATCAGTAACCAACCATCTCCACGGAATCAGCACTCACTGTACACAGCCACCACGCCACCTTCAAGTTCTCCTTCAAGAGGGATATCTAGTCAACCAAAACCTCCATTTAGTGTTAATCCTGTGTATATCACATACACACAGCCAACTGGACCTTCGTGCGCTCCATCGCCATCTCCTCGGGTGATACCAAACCCAACTACAGTTTTTAAAATTACTGTAGGCCGAGCAGCGACTGAAAATCTTTTAAATTTAGTGGACCAAGAAGAGCGCTCTGCAGCACCAGAACCTATTCAGCCCATTTCAGTGATACCAGGCTCTGGGGGAGAAAAGGGAAGCCATAAATATCAGAGGAGTTGTAGTTCTGGATCAGATGACTATGCCTACACACAAGGTAAATTTTAACTCTTTTATGAAATTTAATCTTTGAGGTGAGGTGGCACTCTCCTGTTCAAAATAAAATAATTTGTATTAGCAGTTTAGTTTTAATTAAATGTTCAGTATCTATTAATTGTTAGTAGTTACATTGCTATTAAGAATAAGGTTAGTGCTTCAGAGTCATCTACAGACTTTGTTTTAAAATACGGAAATGTAGACATGGAATAATAACCTAACAAAAGTTTTTTGTTTTGTTTTTTTTCGGAAGAATATTAATGAGAAAAATATAGACTAGTGAAGTGTATATTGTCAAAAATACAGAGTGGAAAAATAGACTCATAGAGGGTGGACTAAAGTTCATCAAGGTGAAAGGTTTTAATTTTTTTTAATGGCCTGAAAGGCATAATGATATTTATAAGTAATGTAAATTTATAAAAAGTGGAATTAGTAATGAAGTACGCTGCTGGATTAGTTAATAGTCGGCCTAACTAAATATATAGGAGAATAAATTTATTAAAAGTCTATGCAGATTGTTTCAAGATACTTGAGAGTTTAGCATGCATTCAATATTTAAGAAGGGAAGTAATTTTGATTGTAATTCAATATGCCTTGTGTTGAGCCTGTTTAAAATACACACAAGTATAGTTGAAGAGAATCTTAGGGAAACTAAGGATGACAGAACAAGACAGATGCATATAGATGATGTCATTTTGGTAGCATTAGTCAAATGAAAGCAGATATGGAGGCAGAATAGCATTAGAAAGATAAGAGAGTAAATGCTGACCAGAGTTGGATGATGAGGTATTTTATGAGTATTTCATACATTAGCAATGTATATAGAAATTTCCAGGTCACTTGTTCAATGTTATTCTCTGTAATGACTTTATCTGTAATGCTGTAGCCTTGCTGTTACATCAGCGAGCAAGGATGGAGAGGTTAGCAAAACAATTGAAACTTGAGAAAGAGGAACTAGAGCGGTTGAAGGCTGAAGTTAACAGTATGGAGCATGACCTGATGCAGAGACGGCTCAGAAGAGTCAGCTGCAACACTGCGATCCCAACGGTAAGTGACCTATTGGGATGTGTTGAGAGAGAAATGTGGGGAGATTGGCTGTCCAGGCCATTTGATTTTCTTTTCTATTTTGTCTCTTGTAGAGGGTTTTTTTTTTTTTTTTTAAAGTAATAATGGACGAAGGACTTTAGCCTTCAGTAGCTCTTGTCAAAACAATTTGATGCTTTATTTTTCATGTGTGTGAGGTCCAGGGGCTCATCAGTATTCTTAAATAATGACAGTTACAATCGAGGTGTAGCATCTCATTTACTACAGATTCCTTTCTGTCTGAATAGAAATGAAAAGCATACCCTGACCAAATATTTTATAAATTGTTCTCTGTGGACTTATATATATATATAGACTTTTTTTTTAAACATTTAAAAACTATTTTTCTAGTTACATTAATTCAGATGAGTTAGGAGGAAATCAGTATGAATTTGGGAAAAGTGTTGACCATAGAGTGTTTTAAGGCAGAGCAGTTTTGTTAAGTGCAGGTAATGGTAGAAACTAAGATAACAGTATTGACAGATAGCAGCCCTAAGGGGAAGTGCTCCCCTGAAAAGATTAGGATAATATATTTTTTAACATGTTAGTTAATGTATATGAATTCTAAAGATCTTAAAGAATTCAGAAAATTTTGAAACACATCTCCTAAAATCTTTTGACATCACAAGCTTTCTGTGATCCAACCTCCTATTTCACCTTTCCGCATTCATTTTTTCAACAAAGATTTTTTTACATAGTTTCTGAATGTGGCATGGTGCTAGGTGCTTAGGGCGACTTGCTAGTGGGAGGAATAGATACACCAACTGATATAGCAACAAATAATACAGCATGGCAAGTGCTGTGTACGCTCAGTGGTAACAAGAGAACGCATCCATCGAGTAGTTTGTGTATATCCTCAATACACTTCTCCACTCTCTCATATTGTCCTCCTGCTGAATGCCCTTCTACGGCTCTGCATGTATAAATCCCGTCTGTTCTTCAAGGCTCAGCTTAAACTCTGCTTTTTCCATGGAGCCATTCCTCATTTTTCTACCCTCTCTAAACTGAGGGTAATCTCTCTCTCTCTCAGAGTTTGCAAGTTTAGAGAAGTGGGCATATACTTCAGGCCTCTTGCAGTCCACGTCTCTGCAGATAGGTTCTTGTATGGAAGTTTTTTTAACAAATTCGTGGCTTCAAAAGGGATCTGCAAATTCTCTGAAATTATATGCAGAGTTTCATATGTGTGTTTCTATGGGAAGTAGGTTTAAAACTTTCATTTGGTTTTCATAAGGTTATTAGACTGAAGAAAAAGGTGAAGAACCACTGCTCTAAACGATAGGTAGTATTGCTATAGGCAGAGGAGAAAGGGGAAGGCATTTAGGAACGAAAGGGACATGAAGTAACCGAAGCCTTGAAGTCAAGATGGAGACTGATTCTCCAGAGGCAGCAAATACGCTTCCCTGGCTAAAGTGTGAGATTTCTGATGGCTTAACAAAGGTTAATGTGTATAGGTAGAGTTAGGCTTAGACCTTGCACACGCGGTTGAGGTATTTGAACTTTATTCTGCTGGTAACGGCGATCCAATAGAAGTTTTTGAGAGATTATTCAGAAACACACATATTCAATAATTTAATAAAATTTCTAATATTGACTAAATTTCTAAGTTTAGACAATATAAGAAGTGAGAAAGTTTTAATTACTTAAAACACTTGGAAAATTATAAAGCTATCTGTAATGAAAGATGATTTTAATGTGAATAAAATTTCTGTCTCATTTTTTCTCCATTTGAAATCTTAATTGGATCCTCTGACTGGGAGAGAGATTTTAGGATGTAACCAATATGGGAATCCACTGGTGTTGTGTTGGGCATTTTGGAATCCTTTAGGTACCTGTATTGCATGAACAATTTTTCTTAGCATAGAAGTCATTGTCTTTAAAATAGCCATATGAGCTTTGTTTACCAAAAGTTTGCTTGTGTGATAACTTCTGCTAAATAAAACCCTATTGATTTTTTGGAAGTAGAGAACTGTCCAATGTAGCATGGGTTAGTACTTCAAAAAAAAAAAAAAAAGATTTTAGATCTGAGCTTTTATTGATGAGACTTCTTTAGAAAAGAAAAGAAAAAGAGGGGAAGTTGGTGAAACTGCTGCCCTGGGCTGTACTTTATTTTTAACTTCTTACTATAGAGAATTTCAAAGATTTATAAAATAGGCAGAATAGTATAATGAACCCCGTGTAGCCATCACCCACCTTCAGAAATTGGCAGCTTATGTGAGTGATAATACTCGAGAGATGAGAAATTTGAGTGGGTGATTCCTAGGCATTCCCACTGCCAGGCCTAGAGTAAAGTACATAGAGGACAGTTAGGAGTGCATGGCTGAGGGACAGTATCACATAGTGGTTAAGACTGGGCTTTCGACTCAGGTGTGAATTTGACTTCTACTTCTGCTGCTTACATGTCACTCCTATATCCTTGAATAAGTAACTTTCTCTATGCTTATTTTCTTGTCTATAAAATGTGTATGCCAGCGTGCCCATTTCATAGGATTTCTGTTAGGGTCATATAAGGTAATATACGTTAAGCAATTTGTACAATGCCCAACAAATAGTGTTTTGTAAAATAAATGTAGGTTGCTAAATACTGGAAAAATCTGCTTGGATACAAACACACACACACACACGCATCTGAAGCATTTTACAAAACTTTGATTTCCTTTTAACTTTAGGAACATGCATAACACAAGGGTATACTTAATATAGAAAATTAATCAAGAAATAAAACACTTAGTCACAATTCCCTTTTTGTTCATAGAGGCTCATTTGACACAACGTGACATACTGAAAAGAGCACCCACATAGGCTTTGGAGGCAGAATAGCTCTGACACTCACTACTATCTCTCGCTTCTCTGCATTTGCGCTTCCCTGTCTATCAAAGGGACTTATAACAAGTCCATTATAATATTGTTGTCAAGATAAAGAGATAATGTATGTGAAGTGTCTGACATAGAGTAGGTGCTCAGTAAATGGGTATCCTTATCATTATCCTCATTGCTACACATAGCTTGTGTGTAGCAATACCTAATAGAGAATTTTTGCTACGAAGCACATACTGCTACCTTCAAGTTTTCAAACAAATTAATTTCTTATCAAGCATTGTAGAAAAAATAAATTAGAAATGCATTTGCCTAATGAGACTGGGATGTGCATGTGTGTGGTTGCAGAAACTTAGAGCAGCAGTGAATAATCTTTTTCTAAGGGAGGCAGAAGTACAAGATGCATGACAGCCATCATTTCTGTCAATCTACTATTAAATGCTGTAGGAGATATCATCTCTTAAAGAGATTTCTGTATGTGGAAAGTATCTGCCTATGTATCTGCATGTATTTGTGTGTGTGTGTGTGAGAGAGAGAGAGAGAGAAGATAATGTAAGACATAAATCAGAATTGCTGGCCAGCTTAATGGTAATGATACATTAAGTACTGTTAGAGTTCAGAGATAGAAATGTTGGCTTTACACTAGTAGGTTTCAAGGATGAGACAGTTTTATGGAGGAGGGGGAGATTTCAGTTATACCTTGAAGGATAAAGTTTTAATAAGCAGAGAGCTGCCAGTTTCCCCCTCTCCCAAATTATTTCCCCTTATTCATCCTGTTCTGACTAACTTGGTTTCTGGACTATCACGTAGCTTTGAGTCCCAGATGCATAATTGGGGCCAAGCCATCAGAGAACATGATGTTGGTCTGTGAGACATCTTCTTAAGGTGCCTAAAGTATTTTTGCCATCTGTTGGAAAAAACTTAGAATTTTTTATTTTTAAATGTCAGACGTCAACATCCTGCTATCCAAGCAACTCGTTAAGTTTTACACAGTGAATCTTGAAACCTCTTCTCCATGAAAACACAGTGTACTTTTGATACACAGTTGTAACTTTTCAGAAACAGCTCCCCGCCCTGCCTCAATTAATTCAAAAGCTGTGAAAAAGGACATAGAGAAGTTACAGATGAACCCAAGTGAGTTCCAATAGTTCTACTATCTTTGGAAATGAACCTGTTGATGAAAGCTTTTTTTAAAGTTATAAGTAAATGTGCAGTAGCCTCTTAACTATAGAATATATTATAATATTCCATACTTAAGCTTCCACTATTCAGGACCACTGTGGCAGAAGCATCTCTCTCTTCCCCTTACCCCAAAAATATATAGGAAGGATCGGCCCCTGTAGGTACTTAACTTTCTCAGTATGCTCCTACAAAAAAAGATTGGGTTCTTTCACATGTTCCTAGGAAGATAGCATCACTTTTTGGAGCCCCTAAATAAGTGTTCTGTGTTTAATATAAATGCTCAGGTATATGTTTTAAATTATTTTTGTGTTGTCTAGTAGACAAGGCTTAAGCATTTTACATGTTAATGTCATATGGTTTCCCCATAGAAATGTGAAAAGAAAAGTAATCCCCACGAAATATTTGTAAATGACGATTTTTGTTGTAGATTTCTAAAGAATTGTAGCACTTATTATATTCTGCCTGATATATCACTTATTTTAAACTTTTGATACCGGCTAATTTAATGGACATTCCTAGTTATTCTCTTAATACCTCTTAACAGCATAAGATACTGTATTATTATGACTTAAGATATCCTTTTTGTTTATTTTTCTTCACTATTATATTAGCATATTCAGTTTTTAACAAAATGTATGTTTTTAACATAACAGGATTTTGCTCTGTCTTTGTAAAATAGAAGATACCTAGTCTCTTACTTTGTATAGTTGAAATTATCCTAATAGTTTAGTTTAATACTTGGCAGTCTAATGAAAGTAGGCTCTGCTGAAAGCTTCAATATTCATCCCTCTAGATTCTAAACCCTGACTTTATTTTTTACTGTACATATATATAAGGAGTAAAGAAATTAAGAATGTCAAGGGAAGTAAAGCCTTCTAAAAAGCTTTAACTGAAGATTAAGGGTCTGTTCACATTTCAGTGCCTCATGTATGCCCCTGAGAGGCGGAAGGAATGGATTGGGCTAGAAAGATCAAAGCAGAAGAAAACAAAGCTGGAGAAAACAAAGCTGGAGAAAAAATGGAGTCCCTTTGTTCCTGAGATTTCATGTGCTAGAGTAATTGCTTCCTTTGATCTAGAAAAAGAAGACAAAAAGATTTCTGTATGAATTTATATAGATTTCTATATTAATCCTGGCTTGGTCAATACTAGCTTTATAACCTCGGGAACAGTATTTAATCTCTCTGAGCCTCAGTTTCCTCATCTATAAATTGGGGGTGATATTAGTGCCTACCTTGAAGGATTGTTGTGAGGAAAGAATGAGAGAATTCTGGGAAACAGTGCCTGACACTTAGTAAGCACTCATAAGAGTTAGTACTGTTGTAATTTTTATCAGTCTGCACAAGACTAGAATCATGGGCCTTGTTTATTTAAAAGGTTGATTCTTACGGTTCCCCTTACCATGAAAACAGAAAATAAAATATTCCCAGAGCTGTGTGACTGAAGTACTGTAGTAGTATTTTGTGTGGTAGAACGCAGTCTAGTATTGTAGCCCACCACTTTAATATGCAGATTTTGTTATATATTTATATGTGGCCATTTTGATGCCCTCATTTTACCTGACTATTCCTTTAAAAAGCATACGAATAGGACTTCATAAATCTGCCCTTTCTTATGGACTGAGACCGTATTCTTGGTAATACCCAATCAGAACAGTTAACATGAAACGCAGTTCTTAAAATGTTGGGCTTGATAATGACTTTCCCACAATTGCTATTTTGGGTCCTTTCTTACTAGCCTGAGGAAATGACAAGATTGAGAAGCATGAACAGACAACTCCAGATAAATGTTGACTGTACACTGAAAGAAGTTGACCTCCTTCAATCTAGAGGTATAGACTTGATTATTTGATAAACCATAAGTAATAGTGTGGTATTTTAAACTGCTTAAATAGCATTAATTTTGCTTTTACAGATTTTAAGAGACAGTTTTTATCCATTATAAGATTACAGTCCTGGTAAAGAGATCCCTCTCTCCCAACCCTTGTCCATGGTCATGGATCACATTTGGGGGATCAGAAATTAGTTTTACTTTGGCAATTTCATCCTTAAGTTCTTATCATTTAGCCTGTTCTATGTTGTTACTCTGCGTTTATCCTTTTTTAGTTAGTCATTTACTGTGAATATTTTACAAATCGATGTGTTTTAATTCTAAAACAGTAGAGTTTGTATTATGTGATAGTCGTCACAAGTATCTGTAAACATAGGGATCTCAAATCAAAATATCAGGTATCTTAGTTTTAAAATAAATTCTATATGCCATTTTTTACATGTTGGTATATCTGTTACATGAAAACATTCAACTATATCTTGTAGTTTTAGTTTTTTGGATTTCTTATAGAAGTACACTGCAATAGAAGCTCTCTTAATTGACTTCCACTTCCCCAGCTCACCAGATTAAGTGATGTTCTTCATTTCTTCTGTAAAATTAACTAACTGATGTACACAGCTGCTGCACACTCATGACTAGTAGTTGAATTATCTGCTTACAAAGAGTCAGTTGCATCTGTTCCCAAATCTGTTTGTGCTGGTTACTGTAAGTGAATAATTTAATATATTGTTTCATAAACTGACATGAATGCGGAAGAAGCTTCTCTTTCTATAAAAACTAAAGGTGAATGCTTTCTAAAGACTCAAAGACAAATTACTAAAAAAAGAGTGTGTGTTAGATATGAGTGAAAAGAACTGAATAAGGGAAAATCAAAAATCTAAAAGAATTCTGTCCTCAAATTTCTTTATAAGTGTTCTTAGTTTCTTTCTTGCTCCATTCTAAAGAAATCAAAACAGGAAACTGTAGATCAGGGGTCAGCAAACTAAAGCCCATTGCCTATTTTTGTAAATAAAGTTTTAGTGGAACACAGCCATGCCCATTTATTTAGATACTGTTTGTGGATGCTTTGTGCTGCAATGGGGAGTTCAGTAGTTACAGCAGTAACTGTATTACAGGTGCACAAAGCCTAAAATATTTACTGTGTGGCCCTTTACAGAAAAAGGTTGTGGACTCCTGCTTTAGGTCATCATGGGTGTGGTTTATGTAAGAAAGACAATACAGAACTTCAGTCAGCAGACACATACTGTAAGAAAAAGTCTTGGTCCAACATAAAAATGTTGCTATATCTATATGTCTCGTTACATTCAAAGCTCATGTGTGTGATTTTTATTAACAATTCTGTGTTTTGATCAGCCTTTTTCTTTTACCCACCAATTACTGTTCTGAATTATGGCAGCTAAGAGAGCTTCTACTGCATTTTCAGAGTATGTAATAAAACACCCCATTGCCATTTTTAGGCAATATTAAATGGTAGAAGCAGGTGATCCAAAGAGATAACGGACCTATCTGAACAATAGACAAAAGCAACTTTGAATGTGAAAGCTGAGCAGTCTAATCAGGAACCCTAAAAGTTATTTTCAGAAGCCTAGTCATTGCACAGCCTCCTAACTTTAAGCATTGAAAGAATTAATATGAGTAATGCGGGGGTTACACAAACGATTGCTACTATATTATAGACAATTGCATCATCTTTTTTGCTTGTGTGTTCTTTGAAGCAAAACGAGAAACACTAACTCAAACATTTGGTTAGGCTATTTATAGTAAGCCTTATGAGATCTAGAAATGAGAACATCAGCTCTACCTTAAGTAATTGAAGAAATATATATGCCGCATCTTAAAGCATAAAAAGATCCAATTAATACATCAAATGGCATTGTGGCTTTCATGCGCTGTCATAGGAATTGTTTTCAGAAAATGATCTTAAAATAGCGTGTTCAGATGGATCTAATGTCTGTAGTAGTACGTGCAAGAGAAACCACTTTCAAGGTTGTATAAGCTAAGAGCTATGTCTTTGGTCTGCATTGTTCAATGACTGTAACAGTGAGCTCTTTTTGGTACTTCAGCATTTTTAAATTGCCTTTCATAAGGGGTCCAAACATATCTATTTTATACCAAGTTCTATCCTTCCACTCTCTGCAAAACTTTTAATAGTGAGTTTCCAATCTATAACTTTTAAGCTAGAGATGGAATCTAGGTATTATTTTGGACATTTAAACTAGATGAATTGTCAGTACATGATTTGATGAAAAGCAGCTTTGTTGTTGGTTTTGGTGAGGAAAACTTTTGTTGGAAAAAGAATTAGATCTACAAATCAAGAGATTCAATATAGTTGAACTGTCAGTACCATACAGCATTCTCTGTAAGTAAGCATAGGTACAGTTAAAATGCTTAATTGAATTGTTCATAGCAGTCAGATTACAGTGATAGGTTCGAAGAAATGAAGGTAGGACCCAAAGCCAGAACTTGGGATCAGAACTGACCTTGGAGGAATCATGGCAAATGTGGCTGAAATGTGCATCAGGGAGTGAACATTTTAAGAGAGATGAAATTTTTGTGGCAAGACAAGATTCTTAGGGATTGTTTTATCTAGTTATTCTGAAATCGGCACCATACCATCTTCTGTCATGGACAAATCTGTAGGCAACATTTAAGATTCTCCTTTTTTAAAAACTAGGAATATATAAACTGCTGATGTCATTTCTCATTTACCCAGGTTGCTTAGAGATCTCAAAATACAACTTGATGAATCTTTGTAATTTATATATTTGGCTTATTCCATAGTTAAATTTATAATGGATAAAATTTAAAGGTAAATTATGAGGGACATAAAATGAGCTTTCACGGTTAAAATCCTCTTTCTCATAATTTGGTCATTAAAATCAAAACAAGCAGAAAGAGAAAATAGTTCAGCCATCGTTTCATTTATCTTCATTTACTTCCCCAAATGCTCCACATGCTTAATCTTGCCTAAGGAGACTAGCCTTACAGTTACAGAAATATTTCTTCAGGTGATACATTGTAGACAAGCACTGGTGTGGTAGTTTTCTTGGGTCTTTTCTCACAATGATAAAAAGTAAACACATTTTTAGTGGGAGGATAGTGGGATAATATAATGAGTTTTAAAACCCTGGCAAACAATTTTCCTTCTTTTATATGTTACTTCCATAGTTTCCTGAAAAATAAAATAGCAAGAGAAAGAATCCTAAATGCCTGGTGGTTTTATTTTTTTTATAGGAAACTTTGATCCAAAAGCCATGAATAATTTTTATGACAACATAGAACCCGGCCCAGTTGTACCACCCAAGCCTTCTAAAAAAGGTGAGTAGGGAAATGTCACAAACATCATAGAAATAAATATAAAAATTCTTTGGAAGTTCACATATATATCTGAATAAATTTTCATTAGAGATAGTTATTAACTTGTACAGCGTTAAAAAAAATACCATATTGATGTTGTTGTGGCAATAATGAAATGTCTCAAATTTTTAAAAAGCACTAGAATAGCTCCTAGAATTATTGTCAGAAATAATTAAATGGGATATACAATTTATTTAAAAAGTGAATGTGAAACAGTATATTATATAGTTAACATTACAGATTCACTCAGCACTATAAAAACTACTATAGTCCTAAAAAATAATTCTCATAAAATAATTAAAATTTTAAAGGTATAATGTTAGAATGGAAAGTTGGATCTGCAGTGCATCTAAAGTTATTTAATTGGCAGGCAACAAAAGAATACTGGTGTAATTAAAAGGTGAGCATAACAATTTATGTGGACTAGGTGCTTTCTCATCAAGAACAAACTAAAATCCCGCAAAACCAAGGTTTGGAGGAATTCTTTTTGGATAATTAATTAGTAGATAGAAATGAGTTAATATTAAAGGTATCAAATGTGCTCTCCTTATTTTTATGTACCAAATGTTTAAGTGGCATTTCAGTGTCTTAAAACAATAATTTCAATTAAATTTAAATGTCGAGTCATTAAATTTAGATGAACTTCTTTTGTCTCATTTTTGTTAATGACCCATGTTGTTTTATAATTATAACTCTTAAGACTGACCTAACACATGCATTTCATATTTTAATCCCTTTTGTTTCAAGCAACTCAGGATAGATTGATCATGAAGATGTAGAATAATTGAGAATGCTTTATTTTTTTTAAAAAATCACTTAAGGGTGTAACATTTAAAAATTTCATCAGGCTTCCTTAAATAATTTTTAATTAGGAAATGTATAAATTCTAAATAATGTTACCTGACCTAAATTACTTAAATTTTAGGTAAACAGCTTTCAAGCTCAGTACAGAGTGTTTTAAGTTTTTCATTTATAGGTTTCAGCACAGTGTTCTTTTTACTGTTTAATACTACCATGGAAGTTTCATCTGATCTGCATTTAAAGTAATCTGACTTCTAAAAATGGTACAAAGCAGAATCTTAGTGGCTGACTGCCAAGTACCAGATTTGACACTGTGGCAGCATTATGTGCAGTTTCATGCTGGAAGTCACTGAGTTGTACATCACTGATCACTTTAACCTTTTAGATTCTTAATATATGAGTCTTTAAACTTGATTTTGCCTGAGTATCTATTAAGGAAGCATCACCTACTGGTAATAACAACAAATGAACTTCAGTTAATTGTTTCAAGGGCCGTCCTGGAGGAATCACCCTGTTTAAGGGAGTGCACTGAAAAGTTGTTAACCTAGGAACAGAGGACCAAGTCGATGAGAAATGATTGGCAATATTTGAGAAAGAAAACTGATCATAGGACTTTAGTGAGTGTCTGTATTGATTATATCACATTCATTTCTGATTATTCTTGGTCAGATGAGCTAACTTGTTGGTTGCTTAATTACCTTGGTCTTCCTTTCTTTGTCTACTGTATTTGATTTTTTTTTTCTTTTGCATACTACTGCCATCTTTTCAGAAACAGAGAAAGAAGAGAAATGAAGATAATTCTTTTTTTTTTATCATTGTAGTTTAGATGAAGTTTGCATTTCAAGTTAGTCTCCCATACAAAAATTTATACATACACTGTTATGTGACCCTAATTGCTCTCCCCATACTGTGACAGCACACTCCTCCTTTCCACCCGATTCCCCATGTCCATTCAACCAGCTCCTAACCCTCTCTGCCTTCCCATCTCACCTCCGGACAGAACGCCCGTTTAGTCTTGTATCTGCTTGAGCTAAGAGGCACACTCCGCACGAGTATCACTTTATATCCCACAGTCCAGTCCAATCCCTGTCTGAAGAGTTGGCCTCAGAAACTGTTTTAGTTCTGGGATGATAGAGAATCCGGGGGCCGTGCTTTCCGGGATTCCTCTAGTCTCAGTCAGACCATTAAGTCTGGTCTTCTTACTAGAATTTGAGTTCTGCACGCCACCTTTCTCCTGCTCCATCAGGGACTCTCTGTTGTGTTCCCTGTCAGGGTGGTCATTGGTGGTAGCCGGGCTCCATCTAGTTCTTCTGGTCTCAGGCTGATGAAGTCTCTGGTTTATGTGGCCCTTTCTGTCTCTTGGCCTACTGCTTTCCTTGTGTCTTTGGTGTTCATTTTCCTTTACTCTGGGTGGTTGGGACCAATTGATGCATCTTAGATGGCCACTTGCAAGCTTTTAAGACCCCAGACGCCACTCACCAAAGTAGGATGCGAAATGAAGATACTTCTTAATTTTTATTTGATAGAAATTTTCTAGGAGGAACCAGTCATCATTTTCATCATGTATCTAATATGCCAAGTTTGTTCCCATTTCTTTTTCTCTTTCAGTTTCTCACATAATCCATGTGAGGTAAATATTACTCTCCATTTATAGATGAAGGAACTTGAGGGTACAAGGTTGACCTCAAATACATGCTAGTGCTCATTCTAGTAGAGCGCAGATAGGGAGGAACAGCATTTATTTCATTGAAATCAAGAAAAAGTGTTGAGGAAGTCAGTGGTAATCAGTGTTATCATGTAAGAAGCTTAAGAAGAAATTTGTTTAGAAGAAAGTTGTCTGTGATCTCTTCAAGATTGTCAGAAATGTGCAGTGAGAGTGAAATCCAGACTGCAGTGTGTTCAAAGGATAAGGAGATTTAAAAAAAAAGAACCTTGGGCCCATAGTAAGTATTCCCATAACTTTGTAATTGATGCTCTTCAGCAGGCCCAGGCATAGGACAGTGCGCAGGATCACACACCCCTCCAGCTCACCAAACCTCTGTTATTGCATGCAAGAGGTGCTCAGATATTTGTTTCATGAATCATTGAATATGGATTTGGCATTGTAATGTCTGCACTTCCTAGGAGTGATAGATTGCAGGGTTTATCGGGTTCCTGACCTTGTTACGTCTTTGCCATTGCCTTAATCTCTGCAGCAGGCCTTTGAACTCCACTAGAAGATGTTGAGTAAAAATTCTTTTTTTATCATCTCTTATCTCTGGGGAAGCCAGTTGTTAAACTGTGTCTGCTTGATCTTTCTTTTTAAAGAATTATTACTACCTACATTATAACTCATAGGTTTTGTAGTGTATGGTATACCTCTAATAGTCAAGGAATTGGATCATGGATACGGTTATTAAATTGATGAGTTTTTTTTTTGTTTGTTTAATTTCATTGGCACAGTTTTGACCCACTCTCAGCCCAGGCACCAAATAAATAAATAAATGAAAAGCCCTAAAAAATACTCTTTCACAAATGAAAGAAAAAAAATTCCATGCTAGTTTCATTAATGTGATTGCTGTGGCTTAAAAAAAAAATCGGAGTAGAGGACATAATTTTCATTAGTTTATCAGATTATGTATGTGTTTATTATATTCTTATGAAAAACCTATATTGAAAACACTTTTGGTTCCAAGGTAGAACATGTGCTTATTTTAGCTAAGTTGTATAATTTACTGCTACAGTGCTTTCTCTTTAATTGTAACTAATGACTTTTTAGAAGGGATTGCCAGTTAGATATCAAGTTCTCGTTTTTCTTTTTTTACACTACGAATGTCAGTTAGCAAGGTTAATAGCAGTAGTTTAAGGCAGCACCATTTTGACCATTAGGAACAATTTTAGCGCTTTAACGTCCAGCACTACTTCCTTACATTTAATGGCCCTCTGGAATTCTAAAAGACTATGTATTAGGTTGTTTGGCTTCTCATGTTATGAAGGCAGTGCCAAAGGCATCCAGATTACACAACGGTGTAAACAGTCAGTGTGCTTGGCTATTAACCAAAAGGTTGGAGGTTCAAGTCCACCCAGAGGAGCCTCAGAAGAAAGGCCTGGTGATTGACTTCCAAAACATCAACCTATGGAAACCATAAACCAAAAATATCCCCTGAAGTCTTCTTAAAACCAAACAATAGTTTAGCTTAACTAGTAAAGAATGTCTGCCTTGAGCATTATGCCCTTTCAGGCTCTATCTATATGGGATTAAATTGACAACAGCAACTCCAGAGATTAGATAGGAACCTTAGGAGGCAGTGAGTTTATGTTAATGGGGGAGGAACAACTCAGAAAAGGAGGGAGAGAATGGTAACACAACTGGAAGAATGTAATCAGTGTCACTGAATTATGCATGTAGAAACTGTGGAATTGGTGTATGTTTTGCTGTGTATATTCTTAACAAGAACAAGAAAAAATACTAAAACAAACAAAACCTTCTAGAGCACAGTTATACTCTGACACACATGAGGTCACCATGGGTTGGAATCTGCTTGATGGCAACTGTTTTTTTTTTTAATTGAAGCAAGAGATTAAAACTTAGAGAAAATAAATTTTTATTTTAATAAATAATCCATTTTCTAGTCTGTTAAGAAAAAATAAATAAAATTCTTCATTTTCCTATCCATGGGATTAATTTTTTTAAACACGCTTAACCCCTTCACTATGTATTATCCTAACAGGGTATATTCACTGATTAAGGATCGTTCTAAAACTATAATTGTTGTATAACTGTTTTACATGTCACTTATTTAAAATTTAGTAACCTATATACTAATTGTCATGATACCATTGCTCTGTTATTCCTCAGTTCAGTGAATATTATAATGACTACAAAACCAGAAATTGTATAGAAATTGCTTTGCAATCCAAAACTGGCTTTAAAAAAAAAAAAAAGCAAAATCCCTCATTGACATCTGTGCATCAAGTTCTTTTTACACATTTAGAAATTATTTAACAGTGATTTTTTTTAATAGAATTATGCATGATCCATGGACTGTCTGCACACTCGGATTTTATAATGATTCTTATTAGATCACTAATTCACTGGCAAGTTGTAAATGTTTGGGTAAAACTGGAACCCTTTAATACAGATACAAAGATGGGACTTTGCTTATTCTTTAATGTTTTCTCCTTATCACCTAGCCATTATTTTAAATCATACGTTTTTCTTTTTTTGTAAACCTCATGTTTTAAACTCATTCATTCGTATGTTTTTCACTCATTCATTCAAGAAATATATTAGGGCATGCAATGAAACTAAGACCAAGCTTTATCCCCAACGAGCAAATAATTATGATGTTAAGGTACTAAGTAAGAAAGGAAGCTACATTTTTTGGATCCCTTGTTTTCTGCCTGGGCTATGTTAGGCCCTTTGATGATAATTATCTCATTTAAGCCTTGGATTTGTTACCCATTTTTCAGCTGAAGATGTTGGTTTCAGAGAGATTAAGTAACTTGATAAAGGAAACACTGATTAACAGTGGCAGAGATATGTTTCAGACATAGGTTTGTTTGGCTTATGCTGATTTTTCCTTTATCTCAACCAGTACACATGCTTTAGGAGAAGTTAGGAACCACTTCTGAGAGGATCCGGTAAGGCTTTATGGAAGATCTGGCATTTAAAATAGACCTCAAAGGTTCAGTAAAATTTCTGCAGTTAGACATTGAGTAAGGGTGGCCTAGACAGGGAGAAACAGCATGGGCAAAGACCATCAACAAAGTGTTCTAGGCTGGAGGGTAGAATATTGGGACATAAGCCTTGAGAGTTAAGATGAGGGCAGAATAGGGATGGTCTTTAGTGCCAGCCCATGATTTTGGCAGGCATGGAGGAACTGAGCAGATATATGCAGATTTGTGGCTTTCTAGCAGTGGTGATGTTAGTGTTGCTAATATGTCATTCTGCCTTGTGTCTTTGGGACCAACACCATGTATTCGAGGTGGGGGGTTCCTGCTTGGTATACTCCTCAGCTAGGGAATTATACAAGGCTTGCATTAATATTCCATGACGTGGTCTCATTAATATGAAGCTTTATCTAGCTCTCTACAAGCACATTTACACTAAAAAGACTTTTTTTTCATGACTCATTTAATTCGAACAAAATTTGCTAAAACTGATATTGGGTAGTTCCTTAGAGTTAGTTGTAATGGGATTCCAATTATATGAGCAATTTCTTAAATATGTGTCAGAAGCTGGATATGTAGATTAATTATATAGATAAATATGTAGATAGATGCTAGACACTACCAAGGTAAGACGTGACTCCCACCCCAGGCAGTTTATACTCTGTTGTTAGGTGGCACTCATAGCGACCTCATATGACAGAGTAGAACTGCCCCATACAGTTTTGTAGACTGTAACCTTTACGGAAGCAGATTGCCAGGTCTTTCTCCCAAGGAGCTGCTGGAACCACCAACCTTTTGGTTAGCAGTGAGCACTTAACGGTTTTTGTCACCAGGGCTCCTTAGTTTAAACTCTGCATGTATACAAAGAGTTTTAATAAAAAGTAGAACAGAAAACCATCTAAGATAGCATCTTTATTATAAATGAATTTCTATTTTAGAAATTTAATTAAGCTTTAATTATATAATTATATTGTTAGTGAGGGTGTAAAATGGTGCTATTCTATAATACATAGTTTTTTGAAACCTTTCACCTTTTTCTGTTAAAACTTATAATTAATATAACTTGATTAAATTCGGAAATTCTTTGGTAAGCCTTTACCATCATAGATTTGAAGTCAAATTTATTTTCTTTTAAGCACTTCGCAGATTCTAGTTTTTTTAAATTAAATTGGCCATTTCTAAAGTACATCTAGTTTAATGCAGATTGGCTTACAATACCACTTACTTAAAAAACAAACAAACATGAACAATGACACGCAAGTAACTGGTAGAATTGGTTAGAATAAACGACTTGCAGTTATTACAGATATATGCTGGAAATCCACATGGAATATAGACGTTTATCTGAATAATAACTGTGATAATTAAAAAGAGAGAAAGAGAAACAATACAGAAAGGGAGACAGAGGAAGACACTTTTTTGGAATGGACTTTGTAATTAAGCAGTATTTATGTGTGTGTGTGTATGTGTATAAGCTCCTCAGATGATTCAGATAATCCCCCCACCCTCATCATTGGTAATGCAAACGGTGGCAAGAACACTGACCTTTGGTCTTGTTCGTCTTGGCCATCTGACCTTGTTCAGTTCCTGTCTGTGCACCACAGAGAGGTGATTGATCCAAATACTTACTTCTTTATTTTATAGGATTGTTGTAAGAATCAGTGAGATGAGAGGTATGTGACATTATGAAAGTGCTTTACAAATCTAAGGAATAGAACTTTATTCTTTGGAGGCCAAGGAGATTAAGTCAGTAACTGCTTTCATTTACTCTGATAATGGAATGTTTAAGTGCCTGTACGCTACGCTAAGGGGTTCTGGAGCAGTAATTACCAAAGGCCTAGGTGCAGTGGTTAAGCGCTTGGCTGCTAACCCCAAAAGGTTGGCAGTTCAAACCCACCAGCGGCTCCGTGGGAGAAAGACGTGGCAGTCTGCTTCCATAAAGATGACAGCCTAGGAAACCCTATGAGGCAGTTCTGCTCTGTCATATGGGGTTGCTGTGAGTCAGAATCCACTCGACAGCACCCAACAACATTGTACTAGAGGACTGCTGATGGGCTTATAACTGATTTGAAAATGTAAGATCTAGCTTTGGTTCTTATAAGGGCAAATATGAAGCCTGCCATTTTTCATTTATACATAATATAGAAGGCTGCTGACTAATAGCCTATAAATTAACAGAAACAATATTCTACCAAGAAATTGGGATGCCTTCAGTTCTTGTCAATGTTGCAGAGTGTTTACTGGGATTTTGTACATGTAGGTAATTGAAATTCCTGAAATGACTTGGGAGAACGTGTTTCTCAGTACATAGTGTTATTGTGAGTTGGTTCTCATTTTTCAGGTACTGCTATTCTTGCTTTTTAATTATAAAATGCTGCAATTTAATTTCATCATTTTTATTGTAGTGGGTTCTTTGGTTAACCTCACTGTATTTTCAACTTATAATTTTCTAATAACTGTTGCTTACTAGGAGAATTGCTAAAGTATAATCTCTCAAATGTTGCTTTCACATTGCATTTAATTGCTATCACTGAGTTTGCACCCCTGACCCACTAGAAAGTGGGAAGCTGGTGAAATAGGGCATTTGTTCAAAGTAATTAGAGAGGATCGAGAAAGTTCTAAGAGCCATTGCTCTGTCTAGGTTGTAAGAGCACTATTATATATGGTTCTTGCCTTTACAGGGGAACTAAAGGTAGTGTAAAGTAATAGAAAGATTAAATACTCAACTGTGTGGGTCACTGTGAGTTGGAATCGACTCCACGGCAATGGATTTGGTTTTGGTGTTTTGGTGGGTGCTAGGAGAGATCCTCTTGCTAGTTAATGACTTGATCCCTTCTTACTGGCTTTGCTTCTTCTTATGCAGATTCCTCCGATCCCTGCACAATTGAGAGAAAAGCCCGAAGAATTAGTGTGACCTCCAAAGTACAGGCAGACGTCCATGACACCCAGGCAACAGCTGCAGATGGTTTGTACTTGTGTATCCTGAGTTTGTGCAGCATGTCCAAAGACGTGTTAACCCACATAGAGTTATCATAGCCAAAGCCAACCCTTAATTTTGTTCTTTCAAAAATTGTTCTCTTTATTAAGTTTCTAAGACTGCACCGTCCAGTAGAAATATAATGTAAGCTTCATATATAATTTTAAATTTTCTGGTAGTCACATTAAATTAAAAAAAAAGAAAACAGGTGAAATTATTTTAATATATTTTATTTAGCCCAGTGCAGCCTTTTTGTTAGCAGCCAAACACTTACCCATTTTGCCACCAGGGCTCCTTCATACAAAATATTAGCATTTCAACATGCAGTCGATATAAAATTATTAGTGAGATATTTGACATTCCTTACTTCATACTAAATCCTCAAAATTTGGTATGCGCTTTACACTTTACAACTTTCAATTAGACTGACCACCTTCAAATCCTTCCTTTTTCACCATTGGCATATTTCCATTTTTGAAAAAAATAACTACTTTTCTCTGATTTTTCAATTTATCTTTGAAACTTGTAGAAAATACATTTAGGATTTTAAAAAATTTCAGTTGCATCTTTTGAGCAATTTTTCTTCTGTATCGTAATAACAATATAATATAAACATTATTGATTAAATAAGTTTATTTAAGTTTATTTGTGAGAGTTTTAATTTTTATGGAAATGTAGCCTATTAAAAATGAATCAATTTAAAAATAATTAGTCTTAAAGGAGAAACCTATTTACTTCAGGTCTTGTTTATAAATATGTATATTCGTTTTTGGTTTTATTTTTTATGAGGCCCGAAATATTTTAACTTGTTAAATTTTATTCTGTAAAAGATTGCACACCTGTAAATCAGATAAGAACAGACATCTAAAATGTCTTTTGGGTTTTAGATGCTTCTATTCAGCAGTACTGCTCTGTGATGAAATGAGCAGTGTCTTTTTTTTAGGACCAAAAATAATTCTAAGTTCTGTCCCTTTTAAATACATTTTTTGGTGAGTTACTTTAGAGTGATTGATTATTCTAAGTTAAATCCTCATGGTACAAAACAGTATTGAGAGTCTTCAGGTACCCTGGATTAGTTAGGTTAAAAGAGGCTTTTCAATTATATGAGAAAAAAAAAGAGTTTGACAAAAACCTTTTCATATTAAACATTTTCCCTGCCACAATCTAAAATGGAAGCCTACACTTTAAATCAACGTATGAAGACAGAATGTAACAGCTTAAGGACTTAATATCTTAAATTTTCTAATTTTGAAATAAATACTTCAGGAAATAAACAGTTGCCTGCTCTAGAAAAGTAGAAAATTGAGTTTTTAGAGCTTGTCCATTAAAACCAACAGAAATAAGATAGGATTTTTTTTTGTTTCCAGTGTTTGGGGCCTATTGCCCGTTTAAAAAGTAGAGACTACTATAAAAGACAGGACCTTTTCTGGAAATGGCATAGTGAGCATTTTCCCTCTAACATAAGGCTTTAACAGTGTGCTTTTTATTCTTCTATATAAGACAAAAAATAAAACTATCAGATCTGCGTGTTTTGGAATCATGAGCCAAAAAACACAAGGTGGGTTATAAAGGCAATTAAAAGCAGCAGTTGAGGCAAGAGAAGCAAGCCCATCTCCTTTGTATAATCATAGGAATAGGCTGAATTTTTTGTGATATTGTAAAGCTAAGAACACCTTCCTGATTGAGGCCAAGCCTTATCATACCTTGGGGTAAGGTTCAGGGTCTAAAACTCAATTCTCTTTACTTCTTGGGGAATGATTCACATCAGCCATTTGTCACGAAAGACACATTTATAAACCACAAGTCACCTAATAAATTTCCAGTGGAAGATAGCCTAACCCAAAATGGTAACTGATCAGGCTTCCCTAAATCTATTTCTTTTGTTACCTAGTTAGGAAGGTTGCTTACCTTAGATCTTAATCTCATTTTCAATTCACTGAACATTGCCTGTGCTTTACAGGTGGATTATCTCAGCCTCCTAACCTTGCTCCAAATTCCAGGGTAAATTCTACCAGACATCTTTAGTCTTTTATTTACTGACCCCACTTCCAATAAGTACTGTTCCCAAAAGGTAGGATTTACAAATTAACTCTAGAATCAAAGAGCCTTTTTTAAAAAATCATTTATTTTGTTGTTGTTGAAAATATACACAGCAGAACATATATCAGTTCATCAATTTCTACAAGTACAATTCACTGACATTGATTAGATTTTTTAAGTTGTGCAACTATTCTTACCCTCCTTATCCAAATTGGTCCTCCCCCACTGACATAAACTCACTGTTCCCTAAGCTTCTTATCTAATCTTTCAAGTTATCGTTATCAATTTGACCCCGTGTAGATAGTTCGAAAAGAGCCTTTTGAGCACAAGACCAGAGAGAATGAGGACCTGGAGGAATACAAGATCAATTTCGAGTTTTTGATAAAAATCCCGGAACCAGTGTAAGGCTGCCAGCATTTTATATTGCCAAGTATAGATACTTTTTAGAACTAATATCCGAAAGTACAGATAGTGCTATAGGGAGGAAAAATCAAGGTGGGTTGAAGTTGCCAGGGAGGACATATAGAGGAGACAGAATAATTTAAGATCCTATATAACATTTCTATTTTTTTCATTTGGCTAGAATATAGCATAATATCCACTATCTATGGATAATGAACTAGGAAGGTAATCTATGCTAGAATTCTATCCATCTTCTTAATTAGACTAAAAAAAGTAAATTGTTTAGAACAAAGTAGACTGTATGTCATCAACTTTCTGCTCAGTTATGCATTTCCAGTAGATATGTTTACTAATAAGCTTACACAGTGCTAGGAAATGACCTCCCTTGCTTTTTGGGTCTTTTTTTTTTTTTAATTTTATTTTTTTTTTTACTGTTGCAGTTAAAATGAAGTTTACATTTCAAGTTAGTCTTCCATACAAAAATTTATACATACATTGTTATGTGACCCTAATTGCTGTCCCCATACTGCGACAGCACGCTCCTCCTTTCCACCCGATTCCCCGTGTCCATTCAACCAGCTCCTAACCTGCTCTGCCTTCCCATCTCACCTCTGGACAGAAGCTGCCGGTTTAGTCTCTTGTATCTACTTGAGCTAAGAGGCACACTCCTCACGAGTATCACTTTATGTCCCACAGTCCAGTCCAATCCCTGTCTGAAGAGTT